GCTCTGCCCGCTCCTACCGGCCCCTGCCTTGGGACTTACCTCACGCCTCCGCCACACCTCAGGACGGTAAGTGCCGTCCGCGCCCGGGAACGGAGACGGGGAGGCTCCCGGTGCTCGGGGGATGCTCCCGGGGAAGAGGGGCTGGGGATGCTCCCGGTGCCCGGGGGATGCTCCCGGTGCGCAGGGGAGCCGGAGGCTCCCGGTGCTCGGGGGATGCTCCCGGTGCTCGGGGGAGTCGGAGGCTCCCGGTGCTCGGGGGATGCTCCCCGGTGCGCAGGAGTCCGGGACGCTGCCGGTGCTCGGAGGAGGCTCCCGGTGCGCAGGAGACGGGGAGGCTCCCGGTTCCCCGGGGGATGCTCCCGGTGTCGGGGAAGCTGCCGGTGGGCAGGGGAGGGGGATGCTCCCGGGGCCCCAGCCAGCGCGGTCCCCGCCGCCGTCTCTCCCTCCGGCCCCGTGCCCGGCCGCCCCCGGGACGCGCCGCGGCGGCGGAACGGAGCAGGGCGAACCGGGGCGAGCGGTCCCCGGAGCCGCCGTCCGTGCAGCGGGCAGCGCTCGGAGCCGTTCCTCCAGCGGGGAGGCCGGGCGGGAGCCGTCTGCCGTGACCGTGGGCCCCGCTCACGCCGGGGCGGTGGGATGCCGACCCCTCTCCCCCGCCACGGCGGCGGGGCCGGGGCTTTGCCTGCGCTCCCCTCCCCGTACCCGGCGGCTGCTTTCCAAGAGTCGGGGTGGCGTGGGGCGACCCGGCATCCCCGGGAACCCACGCGAGTTTGTGCCCTCTACCACCCCCCCATCCCCGGAGTAATCCCTCCCCGGTCGTGGCTCCCGACTTTCTGCCCGGTGGGAGAAGTGGTTTTCATCCCCTGCGTCCCGCTCCGGTCACTGACGGAGCCGCGTTTCGTGGCGAGGAGGAGCTGATCCACTCGGGGAGTTTGTGGGAGGAATCCCAGAGCTGGTTTGGGAAGTTTACAGCTACGGCAGCATAATTCTGTGTTTACGCACGAGGACACGAGTCCGTGTTGGGGACACGTGCCGTGTCCTCGCGTGTGCCGTGGGACGGTTTTGTTGGATGCAGATTTGGGAAGGAAGGCTGGCTTGGGGAGCCTCCAGCTCTTTGCCTCAGCGCTGCCCAGCTTCTGATCCTCGCAGCCATTAATCACCGTCCGGCTCCTTCTCTGGCGGCGGCAGCGGCCTGGTTTTGCTAAGGGGATGCTCTCGGCGTAGCGATGGAGCGGGGCTGGCACCACGCTCCTCCGTGGCTCCTCTGTGGCTCCTCCGTGACGCTGGGCCGGGGCACGGCCAGCTCTCCCCATCACTCCCCCACACAGCCCTCGTTGCTGGATGGTGCCTTCGGATACTGCAGAGCATTTCTCTGGTTAAACACACCTTTTGTTGGATTTTTTTTTTTTTTCCCCCTATTAGCCAAGAAAAACTTTGCAACTTTCCTTCGCTTTTGGAGAGGAGCTGCTGCCGCTGCTGGGTTTCATTTTGGTTTTTAATTTGAGGTCACGTGCACGTTGACAGTGTCTTTGAATCTAAGCGATGGTCCCGTCTCTCGCTTAGAAAGAGCTTTTGAGCTCTTCCCTCTGTTGTCTTCTGTCTGTTCAGGAACAAAGAGATTTTTCTGCCTTTAATTAAAAGGAATATTAATTTTCCACTCCTTTGTCGAGCGACTTGAAGACACTCTGCAAACATCCGTCTGCTCGGCGCTGCGGTGGGGTGAGCTCTGCTATGGTACGGGGCACGGAGATATGGGGGAACCGTCCCAAAATCCCACTGCAAACGCAGAGCAGCAGCCGGGGAGGATGCTGAGAGCTCCGGCGCCTGTGGTCCTCGGGTGAGGAGCCCCATGGGGCCGAGCTGCCTGGGTGTCCGGAGGTGGATAAGGCAGGTCCCCGCACAGTGCGTTTCCACGCGGGGAGAAGTTTTGAGCGTTGCTTTTGCTGTGGTCGGGGAGGCAAGTGGAGATGAATTTGGCTGTGCAAAGGGGTTTTTCCCTGCCTGCTGCCTCCCGGCAGGCCCGGCTGGTATCTGCGTTGGCAGGTAAGGTTTTACCCGGGGACGGCCAGATGTCGGGCGTGTTTTGTTTGAAAAACGTGTGACTGCAGATGTTGGCTTGTGGGGAGGAAAAGCTGAGATGTGTAGCGGGGAGAGGCTATTCTCCTGTGGCGCTGGGTGCTGGCGCGGGTTGGGTGCTGGGTTCGGGCAGGTTAGCAGCGAGGCCTCGTGTGGGTGCAGGATTTGCCTCTTACATCGGGAACTTCCAGGATGCAGGATGGAAAAATACTCTGGTGCTCGGCCCCGCTTCGGGTTGGGAGGGTTGAGCAGCCCCCCAGCCTCTGCCCGTGGCTGCGGCAGCTCGGCACCACCGGGCTCGGGGGCAGCCCCGTGGGCACAACTGGGGTGGGCTGCCTGCAGCCAGCGTGCCGGGAAGGGGACTCTGGCAGGTCCCATGGGGAACCTGGGGCTGGGGGCTGGCGGGTCTCTGCCGACATCCCCTGCGTCGCTTCCCTGGATTTCTGCTTTTGACCCACGGTTGTTTGGAGGCATGGAAAACCCCGCGCAGGATCTGGGCTGCACAGTGTCTGGCTTTGCCATGAAAACGGGGTCTCGGCTCCGCTCGCTGCTGGCAGCCGGCTTAAATCCCCGGCACAGTCTAGAGGCAGTTCGGCTCTCTGCCCGCGGGTACCCGGGGAAGGGGTGCGGGGTGCCACAGGGTGCCGCGGGACCCCGGGGGAGGAGAGGCACCCTGTAAATATCTATTATAATGTCTCTTAATGGGGGGGGGTCAGTTGATTGCCGGTGAGCTGGCCAGGGAGCACAGGGCTGCTGGGGAGGCATGCGGGAGCGCTGGCAGTGGGGCAGGCAGCTGGGCCCCCGGGGGGGGACACACCAGCCCCCATCACCGGCACCGACTCCACTTCTGCCCCCGGCCAGACCGGCACAGTGTGCACAAGGTTTTGGGCAGATCAGGGCCTGATCCTGCAAATGGGGCTGCCTGGGCCCTGGAAGGGAGCTGGGGGGCATCCCATGGGTTGCAGTGCTGAGCTCGATGCAAAGCTGGGCTTAAAAGTTGCTGCTGGGGTCAAGGGGATGTGGGTCGGATGCTGCAGCCCTGGCTTATGCTTTCCAAGCTGGACCACGGGTGGGAGCTGGATTAAGCTGCCCCACCAGGCTGGGGCCAGGGGGGAGTCCCCAAGCTGGGGCCAGTCCTTGCGAGCTTCGTGATGGCCGGCGTGGGGCAAGACCAGGCCGGTGACACAGAGGAGAACCCCCCTGCCCAGGCACTGCTGGCGTTAGTGCCATTGCCTGGTTCGGGGTTTATTTTTAGATTTCCTGCAGCTTGTTTTCTGCCGTCCCTCCCAGCGCGCTCAGGCTCCCCAGGGGCAACCCCACCTTGACAAGCCCGCAGCTTTCCTTTGGAAGATGCTGACCAATGTTTCCATAAAACATCCAAGGGATTTCCTGTTTATTTTGCAAAATTCTCATTAATATTTTTTCCTGTGTTGTTTGATTCAATCTCGCATGGGCAAAATTGCCTTGAAATGGAGCCCGTGGTGAAAAAATAGACAAAGAGTCAGTAATGCAGCAGCCCAGAGGCTGTGGGGATGCACGGCTGGACTCGGCACCCCCTCGGAGCTGTTACCATCCTGGCGTCTGTGGGGCAGGATCCGGCCCCGGGTCCCTGGGGACCCAGCGGTGTCTCGGCGTTCCCACGCTGCAGGGAACCTTGCAGGGAGCTCCCTGCCAGCGCTGGCATGTGGAGGGGGATGTTTTCCCTTCCCCAGCCACTCTCTGCCTCCAGAATGTCCCGAGTCCCCTGGCTGCTTGTGCCACTTGTCCCTGATCCAGCCATCAAGGCCACCTTTGGGCAGGAGCGTCCCTGTGCACATGCGTGGCTGGGTGGCTGCAAAAATTGCAGATTAGGGGCATCGTAGCCTGAACATCTCCCTGCCCTTGAAGAGCAACTGGCTTTGTATCTAGGGCATCAGGCTGGTTTTGGGGTTCACCTTTGGCAGCATGTTGGTGGAGCAATTGCCCTTCTAGTGCAGCCGCCGCGGTGATGCACCCGCAGCCCTTGCGCCGAGGAGGTGGTTTGCAGCCAAGAAGACGTGGGTGTTTCCCAGGTGGAGGGCAGCTCCGGCCGATGCTGCCAGTGCCCACATGCCTCCAGGTGTGCAGGGCTGGCCACGGCACTCTATTTACTCCTGGTGTTTAGCCAGTATATTTAATTTCCAGAAGAGTAAGGCAGCTGAGGAGCAGTGAGGGCATGTGGGTGCCCACCTCCCCTCGCCGCCCCAGGAGCTGCTGGCAGGACGGGTCAGACGGGCAGCGTCTGTGGCACATGCTGTGCCCCGGCTGGGGGACTCGAGGGATATCGTTGGCCATCCTGCTGCTCCTCCAGAGCCAGTGGATCAGGGGGACCCCCCAGCCTGACCTTCTGCGTGGGGGGATCCTGGTTCCCGGCCCCTCTCCGTGCCGGCCGGCCACGTCGCCGCCAGCCGCTGTTGACTCACAGGCTCCGACGTCGAGTCCCAGGGCTGAGCCCGAGATGCTTTTACAGGCAAGGCTGAAATGCACAAAATGTTCAACTTGTAAAATATGTAGCGTGAGAAAATAGCCTTTTCTGCTCTCCTCCTCGCTGCCGCCGCTCCCCTGCCCCATCTGCTCGCTTGGAAAGCTTCCCGCAGCCGGGGGGGGGGGGACACGGACGAGGGGCTGACGGCGTCTGGGGTCCCTCCGCAATCGCCACCGGCCCAGCTCAAGGAGGGCATCTACCCCGTGCTGCTGTGCCCACGCAGAGGTGTTGCCACTTGGCAGCAGGAGGGCTCCCGGGGGCGGCACGGGCGCCTCGAGGATGTGCTGGGTCCATGAGGATGCTGCCCACGTGAAGCCTCCTCCATCCTTCCGCCCTTCCCGCATGCTTCGGCATCCCGAGGTTTCTCTCCCCCAGGATGCATTTTGAGAGCAAATGTGGGGCTGGCACCGGGAAAGCCAGCCGGGCTGTGCCGCGGCCACCGTCGGCACGGGGGATGACGCAGGCAGCGTTGGCACGTCCCGCGGGACCT